TCAGTAAGGACAATTCAGAGCAGAATTCTTTTCTAGAAACTCTGGTGGTTTATCTTTTGTTAAGTGGGAACCAAAAACGAAGAGTAAACAGAATCTATTTTTTAGTTTAGATACATGTTACCTGCCTGACTTTTAAGTCAATCCTAAGATCATCAAAAGAGTGAGACCGTTTCTAAAAGTATGAAGGATAATGTACACAGGAAATGTGGCTATTGACAGGATTTCCCTGCCAAGATCTTAAGATCCATTGAAGACTGGACATCAAAGAGCCTGAATGCTTAAGATTACTGTGTGCACCTATATGTGTACATCCGTGTGTGTGTGTGCATCTATGTGTGCACATGTGTGTACATGTGCACCAGTGTGTATGGATCTGTGTGTGCATTGGTGTATGTGCATCTATGTGTGCATCTGTATGTGTGCACTTATGTGTGCATGTGTGTGTGCACCAGTGTGTGTGCATCTGTGTGTATCGATGTGTGTGTGGATCTCTGTATATCTGCAACTGTGTATGAATCTCTGTGTGTGTGCACCAGTGTGTGTGTGTACCTGTGTGTATGTGTATGCCTGTGTGTGTGCATCCCTGTGTATGTGTGTGTGTGTGACATGCTGGAAGCACTGAAGGCAAGACAGGCAGCGTAGGGAGGTTCTCGCTGGGTCAGAGGGTTCAGAGTCTGAGACCCCAGCCCCAGCTTTCCACCCTGGGGGACCCCACCTGTCCTTACAGGTGGCAGGGCCTGGGGAGCTTGCCTTGGCGGTAAGAGGGAGAAGGTGGGCTCATTTCCCTGTAGGTATATAGTCTCAAAGCTGAAATGGAAGTCAGAACCCAAACCACCAGACACCTCTGCTGAGCACCGGGTCCCTGCCTGATGGGGTTGTTCCATGATGACTCTCCCAGGATCACAGCCAGGGTACATGTAGGTGGGAGCTACAGGGGGCCTGATCCAGGAACACCCACTACTGACCACCTCCTTAAGGAGCTGGCCCTTCACAGTGGCACTGAGAGTGATGTGGCCTGTGCCACCAGGGTGCCACATTCTTGCCAAAGGATCCCTTTGGCACTGACCAATAGAGGTGCTCAGTGTGGAGGAGGGGAGACCCCAAGGCCTGTGAGTAAAAAGAGGGTCCAGCACTGGATCCTGAGGGTCTGGCCCCAAGGCCTGGGCTTCTCAGCTCCATGTTACACCAACAAGCACCCCCAGGACCTGTGGCTGCCAGATGCAATCTGATGGCAAAGGTCTGGTAGCCCAGGCCCATCGAAGGAAGCCTGAAGTCTGGGGGCGGGCAGGGCTGTAAACAGATAATCCCCTGCAGGGTGACAGCCGACAGGAAACCCCAGCATCCCTGTCCATCAAACCATCTCCAAGGCCAAGTTGCTTTCCATCACCTGACCACATTTTTGTCCTCCGCCCAGATGGCTGAAGTTAAAGGCCCTGAACAGCTATTTTTAAAGGATGCATAATTGCCTAGAATGTGAAATGCAGTGTTTAAGGATGCGGCCCAATGGGGTGGAGGGGGGCGGTGCTGCATGAAAAACGTCACTGTTTTCCTCCAGCAAAGGTTAAATCCCTGAGTCCTCATTAGCCATTTTTCCAGACCTCAGGAGGGCCAGGAGACAAATTAAAAAAGACTAACATTATCGGGGTTTAGGGATTTAGCCAACTATTATATCACTGTGGCGAGTTTTAATTAGGGGAAGAAAACCTGTAGGAAATGCTTTCCCCACGTAGAAAGTTGTGAGTGGCAGCGTGTCTCCAGCCCAGGTCCACACGAAGCTGTGCTCTGTTGGGCTGCCCCCACCCCCGCCAAGCTGCCATATGTATAAAGCTTCCAGCCCGGAGATACCCTGTCCTTTCTCATTCCTCCTCCGGAGGCCTGGCAGCGGATGGCAGAACTAATACCATCATTTTAACAGGGAAACAACTTGAGCGGGGTAATTGCAGCATGGCGTGGTGTCCTAGTTTTGCTAAATTATTCCTGTGGGCGGTGGGTGGAGCCACAGCTGCATCACCGAGCACCCTACATCCATCCGAGGAAACTCGGAGCCCCTTCTGATGGGCAAGGGCGGTCACCTCTCTTCAACCACAGACACAGATGGGCTCAGCCTGCTGTCCTGTGTCCTCACCTGTCTGCTGCTAAAGCCGCCCAGCCCCTGAACAAGCTGTGCGTGCCGGCACTTACCTGCACACTGATGAAGGGCAGTTGCAGGAGGACAGGCCTAAAACTTCACCTTCTGCAGAGCCTGGCCAGGAAATTGCTCCTCCACCATCATGCCTGGGGGTGGTTTTAGAGAGGCAGGGGGCTCAGTCTCCCTCCCAGCGCCTGGATTTATCCAGACCAGGTGCCCAAGTCTTCAAACACCCAGGCATCACAAACAGGGTTCTAAAGGTTTTCATGACTGTGCTCATTTCCAGGGAAGGGGCTTCTCAAAGGGGTTTATGACCCAAAATGGTTAAGACTACCAATTAGAACTTTTAGACCCTGATACTTTGTTATCGGACCACTCCTAAGCAGCATTCTAATTTCTCACCATAAGTATTTTCTCACTGGTGTAAGATAAACTAGCTAACCTGCTAAAAAGAACTGGCCTGATGCAGGGTCTATAAGTGATGTCATTGTGCTTTTCTTTCTTTCTTTAATTCTTTTTTAATTCCTATTTCTTTATACATAACAAAACACAAGTTCACTTTCTACTTAGCAAGCAACATCAATTCAAGCATGATTTAAACTATATAAGAAAATGTTTAAAGAATGTGTTCGAGTCATCAACTCTTGAATTTCATACATACTGTTTTTCAGATCTCTCCTCTCAAGTCTGAAGCTAAATCAAGAATATTCCAAGTATTTTTTCCCTGTTTTTGGAGCTATAATTGACCCATAACATTGTATAAGTTTAAGGTACAATGTGATGATTTGATACATTTACCTGTTGTGACATGATCACCACCATGATCACCATGATCATAACCATTAGTTAACATCTGTCACCTCACGGAGTTATGAATCATGCCTCTTTCTAGGGTCATAAACCAAGTGGCTCTGGGTTGGAATGTGCAAGCAATGCTGAGGGCATTCTAGATTATTTCACTGATTTATAGGAAAAATATAAAAACAAGGGGAAACTTGAGTTCCCTTTTTAACATGGTAACATTTAAAGCCTATTTGATTTATACATTGTTTCTCAAATAAGGAAAAGGCTGTGGTCCACCCCACCCCAGTGCTGTGCTCTCTTGAAAATGAGATTCCTGCAGAGTCAGTGTTCTGTGTCCCTTTGCCCAGGCGCACATGTTATCCCATTTCATCCTCACAGCAACCCCCTGAGAGAGGCAGCATCGCAAGCCCATTCTATAGATGAGCTCACTGAGGCTTCAGGTGGTTACATGATACACCCAGGGGCAGGCATACAGCCAGGAAGGTCGAAGCAGGGTTTGAACTACAGCTTCTGAACCTCTGCCTATAGCCACTGCTGATCCACTCCCCTCCCTGGAAAAGAAAACAGCTGCTATCATGTCCTCATTTAGGAAAAACTACCAGCATATCCTGTAGGAACAGTGGGCCAGTGGCTGGGCTGATTTTAATGGAAATGTAACAAGAAAGCTGGGCAATTTAGAACTACTTAAATTTGGTGACAAACTGTTATCAAACTGCTTACGAGTTTATTCTATCTACCCCTGATCAACAACCAGCTGTGATGTGGGCAGGGTCCAGGGATCTTGTAACCGGGGAAACTGAGGCTGCAGAAGGTCAGAGAGGGGAGGGTCAGGCTAGCCCCACACCTGCTTCCCAGGGGGCCACCCACGTGGGGTAGAAAAACAGGACACAGCACCCACTGAAGTGAAAAACATCCAAGGGCCCTGGGAAAGGAGGCTGGGGTCCACCCTATGCATCTCTCACAGCTCTCTGGCTGTGAGGTAGGGTATCACAGCCCAGGCAGGTCCCAGGACCGGGATGTCTCAGGAGGGAGGTGGACTTGTGCCCTGCCACTTGTCAATCTCACCATCCAGGCGGCTTCCATAAAAGGCTGGAGAAGGGGCCACCACTGGGGTGGGGAGCGTGTTCTCAAAGTCTGGGTGGAATCCAACTTTCTCCCAGGGTGCTCTTCCGTAAAACAGGATATCAGAAAAAGGGGATTGCCTACCGCACTGAGCTTCTGGGGAATCGGTGACAGGGCAGCCCTGCCCGCTGCTGTCTGGCAGGCTCCAGCCCAGCCAGCCTTGGCAGGAGGGACAGGCCAGGCCGGACAGGAAGCCCAGGCCTCAGCAGGGCGCTGCTGCCCTCTGTGACCCCCTGAAGGCATTAATGACAGCCTGCAGCTGGTCCCCGTGGACCCGGGACAGGCCTCATCTGGCAGGCACTAAGCAGGCCTGTGGTGGGGCCCCAGGCAGCCCACGCAGCTGTGGCCACTAATCCTGACCAGGACGTGTGCCGCCAGGGGTCAGTCTGGCTCTCGCCCTCCTCCATGGCTCTGGCTGGGGGTCAGGCCTGATGCGGGCATGGGCGCCCCTCGGTGGAGCTCTCATCTCCCCTGATTCCTCCTGCAGAGAGACAGGTCCAGGGGCCACATGGCCCAGGGGATGTGGGACTGACTTGTCCTGTACTCCACGAAGAGGGGAAGTGAAGATACACAAAACGCAGATGTGACACTAAAGAAATGCAAAGAGAAGCTTCTCACGAGAGAGGGTCTGCAAGGCCTGACTCAGTCTTATTTCAGCCCATGAAACAACACGGGGCCCATTCCATGTTCTCACCCAACGGTGGCTTCCAGGGCCCTGCGGCGGTCACAGCATGGCCTGTCCCAGCAACATGGCCGTGCCCTGGTGTGTGGGGTGGGGGACAGATGGCCCTTTACCCCAGGGTGGGTGAGCAGCAGGCTTCTCTCCAAAGTACCCCTGGCCTTCAGAGCCTTAAACGACATGCTTTGGGGGTTCGGGAGACTGGGCAGTGGAAACAATGGGTCCTGCCCTTAGCTTCCGAGACCTCACACCACGTTTGTCTTCTAGGAACCTGGGCAAGTCGGGCCTGCGGGTCTCCTGCCTAGGGCTCGGTGAGTGTGGGGGCCTCTTGGTGCCGTGGTGCCCACGGAAGCGGGGGCGGTGGGAAGGCTGAAGGGGTCACCTCTGGGGATGAGGGGAGGGAGTTTCACCAGGAGCCAGGGTTGGGGGGGAAGGAGAGGCTTGGTTGCCATGACAACCAGGAGGCCATGGGGGAGGGGCCTAGGACAGGGAGGGGGACAGAGATGCAGCCTTAGTGAACACCAGGGCGCTCTGCACACACAGCCCCCTGCCCCCGAAGCCGGCACTTTCTTTCCTTACATAACAGGGTCCCTCATGAAGAGCAGTCAGATTTTGCCCTTTTTTCCTTTTGCCAGATATGATCTCTGTTCCGAGAACATGCTGTCTCTCCACCTTACAGTGCACACATACACACACACACACACACATACCACCCAGCAAGTGTGAGGACACAGCTGTCAGACCAGCGCATCTTCAAAGAGACAGCCCTGGCCCCGCTGCCCACAGGGTGTCCCCAGAATAGGAGTTGCAGTGGCAAGAGCCCCAACAAACCCGTCACAGCCCGCCAGCCAGCTACCTGCTCTGGGCGCTTACTGTCCCCTTCGTTCCTTGGCCCCAAGAGACAGAGACTTGCCCCAAAGGCCCGGAGTCCACATGTGCCCAGAACACGCTCACGCAGAGCAGCAAGGTGGCCCATGGCTGCCTTCTACCCCCACCACCATGTCCTGCTACCTGACGTCTAAGCACCCTGGGGAGAACTAGCATCCCTGGGGGCATTCTCTGACTTCAGCCTGTGTCTCTCCTTCCAGGAACATGGGTGACCTTCGGAGGCCAGATCACCGACGAGGTGAGATGGGGCTCCCTCGTTCCCCCAGGCCACGGGGAGGGCCACCAGTGCCCTGAGCACGTGGTAAAGTCTTTCAAATGTACCAGGTGGTCTTCGGGCAGGGCGGCCTCCATGGCTCCCTCCTTCTGTTTCTCCAGGGTGCCCTGGGGGACAGCAGAAAGGGTGAGCCAGGCAGTGGTGCCAACACCTAGCAGCTGGGTGCCTTGAGGCTTCAGCAGATCCTTTAAAGTCCCAGAAACTCAGGTTTCTCATCTGTGTGACCCCCGCCTCACAGTTAGGGGAATTCCAAGAGAGCTCACTTTCCAAATCATCAAGCCCTATGCGATCTATGCTGCTGCTACAGAGGATGCCCACGTGGCTTTGAAACTTCAGTAAATGTCTGTCAAGAGCATGCAGATTGTGGGACTTCCCTGGTGGTCCAGTGGCTAAGACTCCCAGCTCCCAATGCAGAGGGCCTGGGTTCAATCCCTGGTCAGGAAACTAGACCCCACATGCCATAACTAAAGATCTTGCGTGCTGCCATGAAGATCAAAGGTCCTGCATGCTGTAACTAAGACCCAACACAGCCAAATTTTAAAAAATTAGAATGTAGATTTGCAGATTTGCTGCAAACTGAAGACCAAGCAGATGAACATTTGACTGAGCTGCTAACTGCGCATGCCCCAGAGCCAGCGTCCGTGGGATACACTGCCATGGGATGGACCTGCTGGGGCTGCTCTCCCCATCCTGAGATGCAGCATGGCCAGTGTCTTTCCTGAAGAGAATGATGATTCCCAGGCTGGTATGCACTTCTGGGCAGCAAGTGAGTATCTTGGAAGTGAGAACTGTGGTATTTGCTCAGAGAGCTCAGAACCTCTGCACGAGATGCTGTCTGCCTTTGCATCCACCCTGATTACTGTTGGGAAGGTTACATTTAAAAAATGAATGGGCACTCAGTCATGTCCGACTCTCTAAGACCCGGAATATTGGAGTGGGTTGCCATGTCCTCCTCCAGGGTATCTTCCCAACCCAGGGATCGAACCCATGTCTCGAGTCTCCTGCATTGGCAGGTGGGCTTTTTACCACTGTGCCACCTGGGAAGCCCTTAAAAATGTAAATTAGTTCATTTGAGACCTTTATCTATGGTTGCTCAGTTACTTTTCGAAGGAAAAGCTTGACTTCTGTCACCATCTAGATGCATTTCATTTGCATTCTGGTTCTTTCTGTGACTGTAGCTGTTACAGAACTGTTGATATTCGCCCCTGCTCTGAGGTTCCAGGTCTGAGCTATCTCAGACTAAAGTTGGCAGTTTTTAAGGTGCAGGCAATTGTTTCACTTCAGCCACCAGATTGTTTCCGAGCACTTAGAAGGTCGGAGCCCTGGAGTCCACGTGCTTTACCCCAAATAAATTGAGTCTGATTCCCCTGCTTCCCTTTCAATGTGGAAGAATTCTGTCAAGGATATGGCTTCATTTCCGAATGGCATTATTAGCTACACTGTGTGTGATGTCCTTGTGGGAAAGATACAGAGAAGTGGTCGGATGGTAACCATCCAATTAGGTGACTCTTTCAGCAACAGATCCATCGCAGCCAAAGAGTATTGATTAATGATCTGATGACAGCCACAGCTGGCTCCTGCCTCCCCCATGTCCCCATCAGGGACATAGTGACACGTATGAAGACATTGGAAGTCGTTTGCAAATGACACAAACCTGGAAGGACGGTGGATACAACAGATGACAGATTCAGGGTTCTAAAAGGCCCTGGCAGGTAAAATTGATTGAACAAAAGAGCAAGCAGAATTTTTGTATTAAATCCTACAGTTAGTGTCCCAAAAAATCAATACATCAGGACTAAGGGGCCCACCTTGCCATGGTTCAGATGAAGAATGCCTGGATTTTATTCTTTAGCTGACTGCCTGGTCTGAGCCAGCGGGATTAGTGCCGCAAGGAGGCAGAGCAAAGACCATCTGGGCTGCAGAGAAACACATGTGCAGCCCCAGGCCCACTGGGCACTCCAGCTGGGTGACCCCACCTGGAACACTGTGTCCCTTACTAAGTTCATGTCCAAAGGAAGGCATTCAGCATGCTGTGGAATTCAGAAACAGAGTTCTGTTTTTAGAGTTGCTTCCTGTGTACAAGACACTGTGCCAGATGCCAGGGAGACCCAGAAATGAGGAACCAATGGATTTACTGTGGCAAAGGGGTGTTCCCTGGCTGGACTTGGAAAACATCAGTAAGTGATGGCCCCAGGGCCAAAGCTGGTCCCCAGCCTGTATTCTTTTTATTTTTTGTTTTTCCTTTCTTCTTAAATATATGAAATGTAAAATTTGCCATTTTAATCACTTTTCTTGTGGTTAAAATAAGCATAACGTAAAATATACCATGTTAACCATTTTTGAAGTATACAGTTATCTTGAAGTAAACAGGTATTAAGTACATTAACTTTGCCATGCAACCATCACCACGTTCTATTTCCAGCATTTTTCATCACCCCAGACAGAAACTCGGTACCCAGTAAGCCAGAACCCCCCAGTCCCTGGTCACCTCTCATCCACTCTCTGCCTCTATGGATTCCACAGCCATTTTTGTAAACAAAGTTTTTTCGGCAGGCAGCCACATCAGTTCAAATTGTCTGTGGCTGCTTTCAGACTATGAGGGCAGAGTGGAATAGTTGCCACAGAGACCATCTGGTCTGAAAAGCCTGAAATATTTACCCTCAGCCTCTTTACAGAAAAGGATTGCTGTCAGCCATCCTTTGGGGTCACAGCAGCATCTGCAAATATCTGTGGGTTGTTGTCCCAGGGAAGGAGACTTCCATGGGTCAGGCAGGGATGCAGGAAGCACTCGGTGTTAGTAGACCTCACATCTCATGGCAAAGTGCCAGAGCTGCCCTGGACAGAGTCAGGTTTCCAAATTATAGTTCAGTGTCCTTTCTGTGATCTCACACAGCTGCTCAGGCAGAAAATGCCCCCTCGGGCCTGTGTTCCAAGCAGCCTGGGCAATAAAAACTTAATAAAAATAGTGGCTGAGAACTTTACATTTATTATGGCTCTCAATCCTCTATCAACTCAGAGAGGTGGGTGCTGTTATCCCATTCCAAAGAAGCAGAACCTCCAGACTGAGCAGGTACCCGAGGTCACACCTGGAGAGCGACTCAAGGGGACGCCACCTGGGCTCCTGGCCTCAGAGCCGGCAGCCCCTCCCAGATCTGGGGCAGGATGCTGTCCCCTGGTGGGGGTGACAGGGAGGTGGCCCATGTGTCTTCCAAAGTCCCTTCTGCCTCCAGCCTCTGAGACTCTGACATTGGAAATAACTGAAAAGTCACAAAACAGAAGCTCCATTACACAAAACCGGATGCACCCACAGATAGGAAGTCTTTAGAAGCCGTGTTTTGATGACTGACACGGAGACAGGACCATGATGAAACAGCACAGAAGACAACAGAGACAGCCATCTGTATGTCACAATTGCAGTGTTTCAGGGAAAACCCACATGATTGTTGTTCAGTCGCTAAGTCATGTCTGACTCTTTACAATCCCATGGACTGCGCACAGCAGGCTTCCCTGTCCTTCACTGTCTCCTAGAGTTTGCGCAAACTCATGTCCATTGAGTCAGTGATGCCATCCAATCACCTCCTCCTCTGTTGCCTCCTTCTCCTCCTGCCCTCAGTCTTTCCCAGCATCATGGTCTTTTCCAAGAGTTAGCTCTTCACATCAGGTGGCTAAAGTATTGGAGCTTCAGCTTCAGCATCAGTTCTTCCAATAAATATTCAGGGTTGATTTCCTTTAAGATTGACTGGTTTAATCTCCTTTCAGTCCAAGGGACTCTGAAGAGTCTTCTCCAATACCAGTGGAAAGCATTTACCTAGAAAAACCTGGAACAGAAATTACACCAAACTCATAGCAGAGCAAAAATCAGCCCTGAAAATTCCAAGAGTCCCCCATTCTCTTTCTGTTCAGTCACTCAGGCACTGTCCTGGGTGTACTTAGGATTGTGTTCAGATTGTTCTTCCTTCCTCTGTCAGCTCATGCTGCCTGAGCACCTGCTGAGGGCCAGGTCCCTGCCCTCAGGCTGCTCTCTGTCTGGAGAGTGGGACAGATCACAGATCCTAAGCATATCCTTTAAAAAAAGAAAAACAGAATAATCAGAGTAATCTGGTTTTTTATTTTATTTATTTATATATTTGGTTTTGGCTGTGCTGACTCTTTGTTGCTGTGCACGCAGGCTTCTCATTGCAGTGGTTCTTCTTGTTGTGGAGCATGGGCTCTAGAGTGTGCAGACTTCAGTAGCTGCAGCCTATGGTCTCAGTAGTTGCAGCTCCCAGGCTGTATAGCACAGGCTTAGGTGCTCCGCAGTGTCTTCCCGGATCAGGAATCGAACCCTTGTCAGGGATCAAAGCCATGTTTCCTGCGCTGGCAGTTGGATTCCTTACCACTGAGCCCCCAGGGAAACCTCGTAAGCACATATTAGTCCTGATAAGAATACGTTAAATGAACGATGAAGAATGCATTCTTTTCCTGTGGCTGCTGTAAGAAATTAACCACTAACTGCATGGTTTAGAACAATAGACATTTATTCTCTCATGGTTTCGGAGACCAAAATCCAAAATTGGTATCACTAGGCTGAAATTAAGGTCAGCAGGGCCACGCTCCCACTGGAGGCTTCAGGGGAGAATCCTCCCTGACTCTTGCAGTGTCCAGGGGCTGCCTGCAGTCCTCGGCTTGTGGCCACACCACCCCAGCCTCTGCCTTTGTGGTCACATTCTTTTCTGTCTGTGTTAAATCTCCTGCAACCTCCCTCTTATAAGGTCACCTGTGGTGGCATTTAGGACCCATGTAGCTCATTCAGGCGCTTCCCAGGTAGCGCAGTGGTAAAGAATCCGCCTGCCAATGCAGGAGATGCAAGAGACTCGAGTTAAATCCCTGGGTTGGGAAGATCCCCTGGAGAAGGAAGGAAATGGCAACCCACTCCAGTATTCTTGCCTGGAGAATCCCATGGACAGAGGAGCCTGGTGGTCTACAGTCCATGGGGTCGCAAAGAGCTGGACACGACTGAACGACAGACACAGCTGAGCCACTAAGCATGCATAGCTCATTCAGGAGAATCTCCCTTAATTTAATCACATCTGTAAATGTGACACGAATGTTACCTAAGGTGACATTCACAGATTCTGGGATCTGATATCTTTGGGAAGCCATTATTTATCTGACTACAGAGAACAGGAAAACAGAGAAAGGAGGACTGGGAGGCAGACGTGAGAGAGTAAACCAGTTGATGACCAAGAGCATCCCAGCCCAGGGGACAGAGAGGAAGAAAGGAGGAGAAACAGGAGAGGAGGAGGGAGGGAGGGCTCACAGAGGGGAGGCAGTTATTTTGGAGACATTGTTACACTTGAGCCCCATTAGGGAGGAGAGTAGCCAGTCCACTCTGCCATGGAGGGATCCAGAAAACTCCCCCACCAAGGAGCCTTCCTACTCTGATGACAACAGCTGACTAATGGGAGTAGCTTTGACCTTCTCAGCCTCTGAAACCTTTGGGATTCACTGCCAATATTTGAAAATCAGATTTTACACCCACTCCCCAATATCAACACCCTCAGATAGGCAGATGACACCACCTTCCTGGCAGAAAGCAAAGAGGAACCAAAGAGCTGCTAGATGAAGGTGAAAGAGGAAAGTTAAAAAGCTGGCCTAAAACTCAACATTCAGAAAACTAAGATCATGGCATCTGATTTCATCACTTCATGGCAAATAGATGGAGAAACAATGGAAACAGTGGCAGATTTTCTTTTCTTGAGCTCCAAAATCACTGTGGATGGTGACTGCAGACATGAAATTCAAAGACACTTGCTCCTTGGAAGAAAAGCTATGACAAACCTAGACAGTTTTAAAAGGCAGAGACATCACTTTGCCGACAAAGGTCTGTATTGTCATAGCTATGGTTTTTCCAGTAGTCATGTACAAATGTGAAAACTGGACCATAAAGAAGGCTGAGTGCCAAAGAATTGATGCTTTCAAATGGTGGTACTAGAGAAGACTCTTGAGAGTCCCTTGGACAGAAAAGAGTTCAAACCAATCAATCTGAAAGGAAATCAACCCTGAACTTTCATTGGAAGGATTGGTGCTGAAGCTGAAGGCCCAATACTTTGGCTACCTGATGTGAAGAACTGACTCACTGGAAAAGACCCTGATGTTTGGAAAGATTGAGGGAAGGAGGAGAAGGGGCGACAGAGGATGAGATGGTTGGATGGCATCACCAACTCAATGCACATGAGTTTGAGCAAACTCCAGGAGATAGTGAAAGATTGGGAAGCCAAAGAGTCCAACACGACTTAGCAACTGAACACAACCCCAGTATCCTGGATTTCTGGCTTCTCTTGAAAAATAAAGGGATTTGGTTGCACCAGCCACCTTCCCATAGGCAGCGGTTGAACACCCCCTTCACCCCACTGACACCAACCGGGCAGCGCCCTCCCCCTCCATACCTTCCTGGCCAGTGGGACTTCTGCGTTTGGTGTTATGAGAAGCTCTTAGAAGCCACAAATGGCTGGTTTTCTGTCCTACAGTTTTTGAGGGTTAAATATGAATTGGCCGAGAAAGTTCATTCAGATTTTTCCATAGGATCTAGGGACTTTCTCGGTGGTCCAGTGGTTAAGACTCCATGCTTCCAGTGCAAGGCGCATGGGTTTGATCCCTGGTCGGGGAACTAAGATCCCATATGCTGTGCAGCACGGCCAAGAACAAAATTTAAAAAAAAAAAAAATCTTATGGAAAAACTCGAATGAACTTTTTGGCCCACCCAGTATTATCCACCGAACCCTGGGCTGGCCTGAGAGAGAAGCTCAATGCTCTGAGCTGAGCTTCGAGAAATGGCTAGTGGAGGAGTTTGGATCCATGATCCTGCTCAGAAGGATGCCTGCTCTGTCCAGAGATGCAGAGAGTGAGTTCTCCACTGCATCTTGGAGGGAGCTGTCAGTTGCAGGCAGATTTCCTCAGCTCCTCACCTGGAGAAGCACAGGCCAAGGCCAGAGAGTTATCTGAAGACGACAGTTTCTCCATCTGCAAACAATCGCTTCACACCCTGCAGTTGCTGGGAAGAATTCGAGGGATTTGCCCTCACAGGCACATTCTAGCTGTAGTTTGCATCCGGTCCCATCACTTCATGGCAAATAGATGGGGAAACAATGGAAACAGTTACAGACTTTATTTTCTTGGGCTCCAAAATCACTGCAGATGATGACCGCAGCCATGAAATTAAAAGACGCTTGCTCCTTGGAGGAAAAGCTATGACCAGCCTAGACAGCATATTAAAAAGCACAGACATTACTTTGCTGACAAAGGTCAGTCTCATCAAATAAAAGTCGCTCAGTCATGTCCAACTCTTTGCGACCCCATGTTTTATACACTCCATGGAATTCTCCATGCCAGAATACTGGAGTGGATAGCTGTTCCCTTCTCCAGGGAATCTTCCCAACCCAGGGATCGAACCCAGGTCTCCTGCATTGCAGGCAGATTCTTTACTAGCTGAGCCACCAGGGAAATCCAAGAATACTGGAGTGGGTAGCCTACGCCTTCTCCAGTGGATCTTCCTGACCCAGGAATCAAACCAGGGTCTCCTGCATTGCAGGAGGATTCTTTAACAGCTGAGCTACCAGGGCAATGGTTTTTCCAGTAGTCATGGTCATGTATGGATGTGAGAGTTGGAACAAAAAGAAAGCTGAGCGCTGAAGAATTGATGCTTTTGAACTGTGATGTTGGAGAAGGCTCTTGAGAGTCCCTTGGACTGCAAGAAGATCCGACCAGTCAGTCCTAAAGGAAATCAACCCTGAATATTCATTGGAAGGACTGATGCTGAAGCTGAAGCTCCAATACTTTGGCCACCTGATGTGAAGAACTGACTCATTGGGAAAGACTCTGATGCTGGGAAAGATTGAAGGCGGGAGGAGAAGGGGACAACAGAGGATGAGATGGTTGGATGGCATCACCGACTCAATGGACATGAGTCTGAGCAAGCTCCAGGAGTTGGTGATGAACAGGTAAGCCTGGCGTGCTGTAGTCCATGGGGTCACAAAGAATTAGACACAACTGAGCAACTGAACTGAACTGATCCTGCCAGGTTTTATCATGCCCCTGTTGTGGCCTGTTTGTTTCCCAGGACAGTCAGAACAAAGTCCTACAAACGGGGTGGTGTAAAACAACAGAAATTTCTTCTTCACAGTTCTGGAGGCCAGAAGTCCAAAGTCAGGGTGTCCACAGGGCCGCACTGCCTCCAAGGCTCTGAAGGAATTCCATTCCTGTCCTCCAGATCTGCTGGAGGTTGGCCATTCTTGGCATTCCTTGGGCTGTAGACCCTTTACCCTAACCTCTGCCTCCATCTTCACATGGGCTCTTCCCTGTGTGTCTGCATCTATTCATATAAAAACACCACTCATATTGGATGTAGGACTCACCCCAATGCAGTGTGACCTCATCTGAACTGACCACATGTGCAAAAACCCCACTGGCAAACAAGGTCACTTTCTGAGAGTCTGTGTGGGTGTGAATTTGGGGGACAGGATTCAATTTAGTACAGGTGCTAAGCCCTGTGATGACCCAATAGGCAGGGTCCCTGCTCGCAAGAAACTCACAATCCATGGAACTTCCCTGGTGGTCCAGTAGTTAAGACTCCACACTTCCACTGCAGGGAGCACGGGTTCAATTCCTGGTCAGGGAACTGAGATCTCACTTGCCGTGTGCTTGCCAAGTCGCTTCGGTCATGTCCAACTCTTTCCAACCCTATAGAGTGTAGCCCGCCAGGCTCCTCTGTCCATGGGATTCTCCAAGCAAGAATACTGGAGTAGGTTGACATGCCCTCCTCCAAGGGACCTTCTCTACCCAGGAACCGAACCTGCACCTCTTATGTCTCCTGCATTAGCAGGTGGTTTCTTTACCACTAGTGCCGCCTGGGAAGCCCACTAGTGCAGCCGAAAGAAAGAAAACTAAATTCGCAGTCCAAAGGCTGTTGCTTCATTCTTCCTGGCTTCTTTCTTCTCTATGGGTCTGTGGTTGAGCTGCTTCCACATTAGCGCTGCAGCAGGAGAGGACGTGGGGACACAGGGACAGGGCCTGGGCATTCAGAGGACCTCCCCAGACCTCGAGGTTGAGCTCTGAGCCTCTTGGCCCCACTCCGCCTGGTTTGGCAAGACAGTGCTGCCTGTGAGTAACCCGGATTTTCTTATTTCAGATGGCAGAGCAGCTAATGACCTTGGCCTATGACAATGGCATCAACCTCTTTGATACCGCAGAAGTCTACGCAGCGGGCAAGTATGTTCCTTTTCTCACGGGAAAAAGCAGTGCAGGCCAACCATGGCTTCCTGGGGGAAGACCGGAGCTTCTGTTGCTGCCGGGCTCTCGTTCATTCCCAAGACAGTTTGCACCTCCCACACCCCACGTGCTCTTCCAAACTCTAAACGGCTGGAGGAGGTGTTGTTTTCATGGGGTCAGAATCACAGAGCACTCGGTGACTTGCCAAACTCACGTGTGTTCAAGCCGCTGACCACAGCCCCTCTGGTGCCCAAGATGCCACGCTGGGCGAGAGCATGATTAAGCTGTAGTCCCAGCTCTCCTGCCGCGCCCGTGACCTGCAGCCAGCCCCGCATGCCTGGCACTCTCACATCTTAATGGTGCAATTAGGGCTGCAGGGAACGCGGGGCCCTCAGGAGCCGGGGAGAGCAGGGTCTGCTGAGCCGAGCCCAGCGGGGAGAGCAGGGTCTGCTGAGCCGAGCCCAGCGGGGAGAGCAGGGTCTGCTGAGCCGAGCCCAGCGCTGTAGGAAGCACTTCCCGTCTTGGCAATGAACTTTCCTACTCAATTATGTAGAAGCGCTCTTCAGCCAAGGCCGCTGGCTTCAGTTTTAAAGACTGACTGTAATCAAATCATCCACTCTCCTGCATTGGGTTTCCAAAAGTCAGCTTTTGTTTGTGAAATCATTTGTTGGCTCACTCTCCGTCCTCCCTCTGGCCCCCTGCTGCCTAGGGTGAGCCAAGTTCCCATCAGCTGAGCCACTCAGCCTGGCCCGCCGTGTGCCATGGCCTCGGGGCCAGCACCTGCCTCTCGGGCTTCGGGTTATTACATGCAGCCCAGGATAGAGTCCAGAGGACCAAGAATCAGGACCCCAGCTCCGCCTTTGCTCAAGTCCTGGCCCAGGGGCCGAGGGTCTCACATCCCCAAGGGCCTCTGCTGGGACCCCCTTCCTGAGTCTCCTCCAGTCCCCATCAGTGGCCTCTGTCCCCTGTTGCCACCCCCCCCCAATCCCTCTGCACTGGCAACCACTTTCAATCAGAGTGAAATGCTTTCCAGACAGATGAGCTAAGCCAAAGGGTCAGAGTTGGAAAAGCCAGATGCAGATGCCAAGCCCAGAGGCGTCCCTGTCCCAAGCACCCCAGCCTGTTCCCTGGCCCTGCGCCTGCCTTGGCTTTGCTGCCCACGAGAGCGTGTGAGTGACAGCTCCCCACAGTCTCCCCCAGCTCCAGATGGCACTGTGTCCAAGTCCCACACACCCCCTTTCATGGCAGCCACACTCCTCGAGGCATTGCTTTCGCTCCCCTCAGCCTAGCTGGACATCCAGGGTGGCATCGCAGGCCAGCACACCGAGTCCCTCTTCTAACCAGAATGCCAAGCACCCATCTTACTGAGTCCCCCTGCTTCTCATGCTCTGGGCACTTCCAAGAGAGCTGCAGGATTTCTGCACCCCCGCTGGACAGAGGCCAGCCTTACCAAATTCACGGCCAGCAGAATTCAAAGCTGAAAGCAACAGGCTTCAGTTGTCACTGCCTACCGCTCCTATAGCCCCATGACTGCTGCCTGCTCCCCATCTCCTTCCTTCTTTCCTAATCTTTTGTCCCACCAAGGAGAGACCCAGGAATGAAAGGAAAGAGGCTCAGGGCTGAGTGACTTTCTGTGCATCTTGACCATAAATGAAGAGCCTTCAGAATGGATGCTAAACAGCTTGCAAATTAGAGCCCATGATTTCTGAGTGGATGACTCAGGCGCTGTTATAATTGGAATGGAACACTGGGTATGGATCATTCTCCGTCTGTTGTTTTTTGCTCAGAAACATTTTGCCACAAGCAGAAAGTTCTTCAAAGTTAATCCAGTGCTGCAGTGCCAAACACGGCTGGAATGGTCAGCGCATGACCCTGGCTGACACGAGTTTGGTGCAGGGCCCAGAGTGACACCAAGCAGAATAGACAGCAGTCAGCATGGCATCCTTCTCTCTATTGTTAAGAAAGCAAGAAACAAGAGGGACACACACACCCACACTCAGTGCACACACTTATGGGTGCACACCCCCACACTCATGGACACACGCCAACACTCGACACACTCACACTCATGGACACACACACCCACACTTGTGGATGCACACTCTCATAGTCGTGGACACGCACACGCACTCATGGACACACACATAAACATGAACACACTCTGTTGGAAATTCAGCCCTGAGTTCTTGTTGATTGTCTCTGCAAACAGAGAATGTGCTTGGTGAATAATCTATGTTTTTTTAAAAAAAAAAAAAAACACACTTGTCTGGAAACTTGGCCCATGTAACGTTGCCAGTCATTTTCCCTGGTGAATTTCCAAGGGGCCAGGGAAGCGGCTGCTGCTGGTCCTTCCAAGCAGCTCCTCCCTTCTCTGTGGGAGCTGGAGCCACTGTGCTGGGACAGTGGCACATGGCCGTGGCCACCTCCATGGGGAGCAACCCCCGCTGCTCCCAAGTGCTCTCCTCGCTCTGGACTGAGCGGCCCGAGCCAAGGCAGACATTAGCAGCCCTGGGCCGGGTGGTGTTTTCACCAGGGGCCCCTGTGGCTGATGAGCGAGGTGGGGTGCAGCTTGGGGTTTCTGTTACCCAGTAATGAATTCCCCACGTCTCGGTCTTCTCTGCAGAGCTGAAGTGGTGTTGGGAAACATCATCAAGAAGAAGGGATGGAGGTAATTAGTTCCTCTGCTCACGTGCTCCAGCTCCAGGGCACATGCATGCACACATGCACAGGGAGAAAGTTGGAGAAGGCTGCTGGGAAGGAAGAGGCCTGCTCTGGGGCCCCGGGAGGGGTGGGCAGGCTTGGATCCTGTGGCTGTTCCTTCCTGTTTGCCGGCAGAGTGCCCACTGTTGGCCTCACAGCCCTGTGCAGCCAGCCTGGCTTACTAAGACCTGGTGGTCCCAAAATTGTTCTTGCTGGGAGGGAGAGAATGTCCCAGAATAGAGGCAGTCCCTGTGCTTCCTGCAAGGGGAGCCAGCGTTCACAGTATGGGTGGCCACCACCAGGGAGCCAGGGCCTGCGCCCGAGGGTCAGGAACCTCCATCTGGCTTGACACAGAGTTTCCCGCCCGCCTGGGGTCAGGCCAGGCTGAGCACTTGACTGCACTTTGGGGCCACTTGTGGCCTGTGTGTCTTCATTTTCAGCAAAGTCAGAAGCAATTAGAAGGCTGGGCCTCCCCCACCTCCACCAAACACCCCCAGCCCCTCCCCCGCACACACAGAGTCTCCACCAGCCCCTGGGGCCTGGATGACTGACACTCTCTTCTTGACCCAACCCAAGTTGTTTCTTCATGGCTCTAACTGATCCCCAGATAACTCCCTGCTCACTCTGTAAGTAAAAGAAATTGCAGGTATGAGTGAGTCCCGATTGTGTCTTAGGTGAACACACGAGGAGATGCCTACCAGGTCATCCCACCTGCCCGAAGGTGATCCTGGCCCCTGCCAGGATCAGAGCCCCTGGCTTTGAGGAGCTGTTTCCTGAGCAGTAAACTGACCCCCCCCCCCACCCTCATGGGAAGAAAGCACAACCACAGGGGTATTGCCTGCCCCCAATCCCTTGGGAATGATCAAGATCAAATGTGGACAGGAGGAGCCATCATCACCCCACCCACCTGTCCCTCCAAGACAAAGTCACAGATGTCAGCATTGCCTCTTGTGAATTTGCGGCGGGAGACCTGAATCCATTCCTTTCCCCCAGGCTTTCAGCCACCCAAGTCTGAGCTTCCAGGAGCGTCACCTGCCTATCTCTCGGGTCAGCCCCACCCCAACCTCTCCCCCAACCTGTGGCACCCAGGATGCTCCCCAAGGCTGTCCCATACAGCTTTTCTGAAATGCTGCCTCAGCCAGTAGAAATTTGCAGCGCTCCAACCTCCAACCAGTCCTGACACTTGACCTCCTCCAAGTCCCCACAGAGGAGCAGGCTTCTGTTCCCTGGACCACGTCCCCCCTCCTAAATGTGCTCCCTCCTCTAGGCTCCAGGCTCCAGTCACTCTAGACTCCATCTCCATCCAGCCCCTCACTGTCCAACCCTAGTTCCACAGTTAGTTAGTTGCATCCATATAGTTAATTACGTCTGTAGGTTTTCTCCTGGCTCGATCCAGGCCCCTGGGCTGGGAACACCCCAAACGTTGAGTGATAGAAAAGCACCGTTTCACACCCTGTGCTCCCGGGTGAGAGGGTTTAGGACTCCTGGGTAAGGGCTGAAGACAGTGGGGAGGGTCGGGGAGGGAAGACCCCAAGGGGTCACACCCAGTAACAGCCCTCCTTCTCTTGTTCCACAGACGATCCAGCCTCGTCATCACCACCAAGATCTTCTGGGGAGGAAAGTAGGTGCAGCCACAGGCGACCCCCTGGCCAGGGGCCAGGTCTGCGGAGACCCCTGGGGGTGGGTAGTGGGCAGTCATCCTGGAGGAACGGAGGCTGCCCGGGGTCTGTCCTGGACACGCCAGCCTCAGCGCCTGGGCAGCACGCTTTCCCATCTCCTGGGGCAGGAAGCAGGGGACGGGCTGGTGTGTGTGTGGCCATCTTCCCTAACTCGAGCCGTCCCTGTTGAGGGACCCCGAGTTCCAGAAAAGCAGCTTTGGCTAAGTTGCCTTGTGCTCAATCCTTGCTTCCCTTTTATTTTTACTTTTGTGGTTTTGTTTCTGATTACAAAGGTAACATCCTAAAAACTTCTGGAAAAAGCAGAAAATTCCTGAACTGTCCTGTTCACTCCACTTACCCTGGGCCACAGACCACCCTTGCTATCTTCTGGGAATCTGGCCCCATAGTTTATCCAGGGCCGGACAAAATGAGCTTCATAGGAATTAGAAATATGATTCATTTTAAGTTTTGAAAAATCCAAGTCAGAGAGAGGGAAAATTGAAAAGCAGACACCCCAACCCCGCACTGAGCCCCACCACGCCCAGGGCGACCAGGGTCAAGGGCAGCCCGGCTCTGCCACATCTTCTCCACATGAGCAAATCCTCATAGCCTCGTGGTTTTATCCCCAAAGTGGAATCAGACTACAAGTGGCACGCACTGACCTACTTTGTTCACCTAACATTGCGTCATAAACATTTTCCCTGAAAACCACTTGAAACGTCGCACACACTGTCGCCTGTTTTTCAGAGCTGAGACGGAGAGGGGCCTTTCCAGGAAGCACATAATAGAAGGTGAGGAGGGGGTGGGCCTTAGGGTGCCCCTAAACCCTCGGCATCCTCCTGTGGATGCAAAAGTAAAGAAACCATTGTGCCCCGGCCCCATCCATGCTGCAGGCCTGGAGCTCTAGGGACGGCCCAAACCCTGGTCCACCCAGGCTCACAGGGGGTGGTCCCTCTGCATCACGAGAGAGGGGCAGGGGTATGAGTGGGTGGGGCTCACGTGACCCTGGGAAGACACAGACAGGCCTGAGTTTCAACCCAGACTGGGCCCTGTGCCCACTGGGTGACCTTGAGCAAGAGACATCATTTCCCCAGGCCTCTGTGGCAGCATCTGTTAAAGGGCAGGAGAATAATGCCGACCTCTGGGGTCACAGGAATCGGGAAGGACCCCAGCAAGGTCCTGTGTGTCAGACTCAGCCTGGGGCTCAGAACACGGGAGTCCCACACGGGGTGGGGAGTGGGCTGGAATGCCTTGCATATCCCAGTTGTTATTGTCTCAGTACCTTTTTTCCCATGTTCATTTTGTCGAAGTAATACAGTCACTCCATTAAAAATGAAATGATTAGGAGGCCTTGCTGCCTGCCCTGCCCTGCCCTGGCCCCCAGCCCTGCAGCTCCGTTGTGAGCTGCTGCCAACTGCTCACTGGGCCCCATTGGCCTTCCATGCCGTGGACGATCCACTCCATGTCGGGCGGCCTAGCTCCTCCCAGTTTCCTCCCAGGCCGCTCTAGGAGGGGTCCCCTCCATTTGGTCACAGGACTTTGGGGTGTGCCACCTCTTCTCTCGTGGCTGTTTACAATCTCAATGGCCTGTGCCCACACATGCGGCCCACCGTCCACAGCTCCCAGGGCTAGGTGCCTTGTCCCTTTCATCTCTTGCTCACGGGGTGAGGGCCCAGGAATGTCTGTGAAGATTGTAACGCAACCCCTCCCACCCCCGACTCCTCCCCTACCCAGGTCTGAAAGCTTCCCTGGAGCGGCTGCAGTTGGAATATGTGGATGTAGTATTTGCCAACCGCCCAGACCCCAACACGCCCATGGAAGGTACGTTCTCCTTGGAAGCACCTGGCCAGACATCGTGGTTCCAAAAAGGGCAGAAGGTTCTGAACCTGAGGCTCTGATGACACCATCCCAGGGCCCGCTGGGCACCCAAGCCTGGTGGGGTGGGAGGTGGGGCCTACCCAGTGTGGAGAACTCAGCCTCTGATCATTCCCCCAGGTGCCCCCGGCACCTCCAGGCTGAGTCCCATCCTTGCTCCAGGTTCCCTCCCCATCCTGGGCTTGAACGCATGCTGTGTTAGCTAAAGTCATGATCCCATGACTCCTTGCTGCATTCTTTTCAATTCTTTCAGTCACCATCCACATTCTATTGGGAGGCTTTAGGGGTCTTTTGCTCTGGGAAATAAACTATTACTTAGAGGAGGAAAAGAAACGTACAGTGCTTTGAAAAACAGTTTTGGTTTCTTGGGCGCTTATTTATTCTTTGACTCCTGTAGTCTCAGCCCCTCCTATCTCCTCCAACTCTCTGCTTTGGGCATCTTCTCGTTTGTGCTTCGCTGCTTCAGGGTCTTGGAAAATTCAGTTACATTCAAGTTACTTTTTCTTCATTTGTTTGTATATATACCATGCACCCATGCATGTGTATATGTGTGTGTGCGTGTGTGTGTGTGTGTGTGTGTGTCTGTTATCCAAACCAGTAGTCTACAAAAAGTGATTTGAGCCTGCACCCCCATGCCCTTTGTCAGACTGCACCCCTCAGCATTCCCACAGCTGTGAACTCTGGTCTCTTTCGATCTTTCTTTTATCACCAGGGGATCCATTTAGTTCCTCCAAGTCAAGGACTTTCATCATAGAAGGTACACAGTACCCTCGGCCCGACCACTGACCTCTGTGTCCGAGTTGCATTTTATGAGACAGTGTTTTTATTTACACAACTCTCTTCCCACCCCCATGACAAAACTTCTCCATAAAATGCACAAAGGAGAAATAAGTGCCTTATGGGAACATCTTGCAAGTGAAGAAAAGCAAAGCAGAGCGGACCCCCGCCACCCCCTCTCCCATCCCCATCTATGCTGTCACCTCTTTCCTCCCGTCCTCCCTCCCATGCATGCACGCCCCTTCCTTGCCCCACCTTGCATCACCATGATCCATGATCCAAGGGGGCTTCCTCTTGATTTGGGGATGCTGTGATCAGTGCCTGACACCTTGACCCCGGATGGTCTGGGAGAGGGCTGGGGAGACCAGGTTTCCACAGGAGTGAACACACTGGGGACCCCAGAACATTGGCCCCCGGCAGATTGTATCTTCTCCATAGTCCAATTTGCTAAGCCCCCACCTCAATCAAAAACAAAAGGACCAGGTACCAGCTGCTCCACCTCCACCCTGGGCAGGCTGGGCCACCTGTTATTCTCACCCCATGCAATGTGGTCAGAGCTCGCCATTGAAATATGATCATTTTTCTCCTGAAGAATACCTACATGAGCTGGGGAAACTCTGAGACCCGGGGCAGCCTCTGGCCAGGCAGTGGTCTCTGCCCTGCCCTAAACTAAAGGACCCTGGGCGCCCCCACACCAAGGGCAGACCTTGGTCTCCCTGGAAGCTGGGCTGCATTCCACAATGGAAGGGCTCCCGCCTGCCAGCTGTCACTGCTACCCGACCCCTCCCATCTATTATTTGTGACACAGCAGGAGATGCCCTGGGTTTTGGCAGCAGCTGGAAGGATTTGGTCCTCCTGCTTCTATTCAACAGCATTAAATATTGAGGTAGACAGTCATCCCTAATTGTCCGTTTCTGGTGTCATGACACCCAGCTTAGGCAGAAGCACAAGGGCCATGCTCCTGTGCACGGGCTCCATGCCCAGCCTGCCAAGGCCATGGACCCTCGAGGTAGCCAGTAGCATTTGCCCAGCACCCCTTCCCTCCCAGGCCAGCCGCAGGCTCGCACACCACCCTGGCCCCCAGTCTCCCGCTGAACCCTCCTCTCTGCATGGAAGGGAGAAAGCTGTGCTCGAGGAAGCCAGGCTGGTGAACGGGGTGTTGTCTGCTTCCCCCACTCCAGCATGTGGGCCTGAGCCTTGGCTGAAGACTCGGGTGATCACGCTGCATGGTCACAGGTCCCCCCAAGGCTGTTTCTAAAGAACCTGACGAGGACGGCCGGGCTGGCAGCCTGGGCGCAGGGCTCGAATGTGGGCAGGTGCCTTCCTGGGACCCTCAACCTTGCAACCAAGTGCTGCTCTTCATGTCGAATAGTGTTAGCCATTAAAGTGGTGGCCTGCTTATAGCCCACGGGTAGGGGGCTTCCCTGCCAGACTCCCTCCCTGGGATGGGTGGAGAGGAACCAGGCCCCAACCTTGGAAGGAAAGAGAGGGCAGGACTTGGCATACAGACCTGGAAGCTGAGGTATAATTTTTCAGGGGTCCTGGGCGAGGCCACTGAGACCACCACCCCAGAAGTCCCAGCTACATTAGTTTTCTACTGAAAAAGGGGACCTTGGCAAAGGGGCACTCAGGGACCGAGAATGGGTGGAAGCACCCCAAAAGAGAGGTACCACTCTGCCAGAGACTGTCCCCGTGGGCCTGGGGCCTTCCAAGGTGGAGCCCTCAGAAAGGACCTGCATCCTCCTTTCTTCTTTCCTTCCACCCATGCCATCTTCAGGGACCTCAACTTCCTGACATCTGTGGCCACTTCAGGAGAGGTGGGATTTTCAAGGAGCAGTGTCCATTTTGGGAAACACTCATTCTTCAGCTGAAATTCTGGGACTGCCCTGGGCAGTCTTACGTGCAAGCATTATGTATGTGATCTGAGAAAAGCCTGATGGGGTAGCCTGCTACCCTTAGCAAAGCTGAGAGACATCTGAAATTTTAAAATTTGAGGCAAGTTCAGTTGTAAAGACCATAGTATCCTCCTGGGGCTGAAGCAGCCTAGGGGCGACTCTGGCAGATTTTTATTTCTCAGAAAAACTTCAATTGAACTGAAGAAAAATCTGTCACAGTGGAGATAGGGAGAGGGTCCCTTGCTGGATACTGACTGGTTTGAGAAGCCGGGGCATAGTCCACAGGGGGCTTTCCATGTTTCCTGCTGGCTCTCTTGAACAAGAGGGGAACTCCGCCCTACCGCCCCACCCTCTGGGACCAGCCAGGGCCACTACCCTGCCCTTTGTTGGGACAGACACTGTTATTACCTCTACATTCAGTTCTCCAGATCCCAATGACAGTCTGGAGTAGCCCCAGTAGGTGGCTCAGACTGTAAAGAATCTGCCTGCAATGCAGGAGACCCAGCTTTGATCCCTGAGCCAGGAAGATCCCCTGGAGAAGGGAATGGCAACACACTCCAGTATCCTGGAGAATCCCGTGGACAGAGGAGCTTGGCAGTCTACAGTGAATAGAGTTGCAAAGAGTTGGACATGACTGAGCGACTAACGTTTTCAAAATACTAGAGAAGGGCAAAAATTGAGTTTATTTCCTGTTGCCGCCTGTCAATCTGATCATAACTTAATCTGTTTATCTGGTTCTTCCTGAGCAAAAAGAGTCCCCAAATCTTGCCCAAACTAGAGAATGCCCCCCATTCTAGAGTCCAGAGTCACATTCTTTGACCTCACCTTTCCTTCATCCCTCTAAGCTGCCATAGAAACATCTCAATCCATCCATAACCCATATTTTCACACATTCCATAAGGCCTGTAACTATCTGGGGACACTGTTTTCAAGATCAGCTTCTTGGACAGCAGCTCACTTTTTTCTGTCATCCCAGAAAACCCTGGCCACCCGCGCCTCTGGAGCCAGGAAGCACACTGCTTACAAGCTGTCCTGGCAACATCCTCTCCCTGCTCCTGGCCTTTTTTGGTTTTTTTGCAGAATGTCCCCAGGTGGGGCCCTGTGCCCTCAGTCATCCCCCCAACCTGCAGTTTCCCCTTCTCTCCTGACAGAGACAGTGCGCGCCATGACTCACGTCATTAACCAGGGGATGGCCATGTACTGGGGCACATCGCGCTGGAGCTCCATGGAGATCATGGTAATGTGACCTCTCAGTGTGTGTGCATCCAGGGGCTGGGCTCCCGGCCCCGCTCCGTGGGTGACGACCCTGGGGCTCTGGCAGGTTTGGTGCCGTTGGTCCCTAATGCAGAGACTACTGGGTACCAAGAGGAGAGTCAGTATGGTGACTTGTGGCACTGATGTCTGCAGACTTTGCAGACGGGGCTCTGGGCTTGAATCCCAGCACTGTGTGGCCCCAGACCGATGGCTTCAGCTCTCTGAGCCTCGGTTTCCCCACCTGTAGAACAAGACTGCTAGGATGACCTACTGTCATGAGGCTGTGTGAGGATTATCTGAGAGATCAGAGGTGAAGCTTTTAGCAGGGATCCTGGAGCTCAGCCAGCAGCCAGCAGTGCTGACAGTGCCAGCCACTAGGCTGAGCTCCCGCAGTGTTCCAGGTGCCGTTAGATTTGAGGGCTTCGTGGGGACTAACTCCCATTTCATCCTACAGCCTATGAGGTAAGTGCTGCTGTCACCGTTTCTCAGATGTGGCCACTGAGGCACAGAGGTTAAATAACATGCCCAAGCTCACGCCAAATGATGGGTGCCCAGGCCATGCAGCTCAGAGCCTGAGCTTCCATCTCATAGTCCATGATGTTTCTCCCTCACCCGCACTTTCAGGAAGGCATCCCCTTCCTTGTCATTTCCCTCCATGGGAGCCATCAGAAGCTGAGGGTAAAAGACATTTTATAATATTCCTGGGATATCCCAGAATGGTTGGCAGAGCAGCTCCCCAGAGGCAGACAGCTGGTGGGTGGGGGGAGGGCAGAGGCCTGGGGACTGCATTTTCTCAGACTAGCTCTCAGGCTGACTCCCTCACCCTCAGCTCCAGGCCTCCTCCCCATCCCAGCCCTTCCCATGCCCCACCTCCCAGAATTTCCCACATCTTGGCATGCCTCAGAGGGGAGTTTCTCCCCTAGTGAGTCCCAGATTTCTGGTTCATCCAAAAAAAAAAAAAAATTAAACAGGATCTTCAAGTTGAATACAACTCAAGAATCCTGTGATATCAATCAGCCTTTGGCATCTGTGACTTTCATATCATTTGGCATTTTTCTGAAGCTGCCTGGACGCAGTGCAGAACTCACTGAGGTGTCAGGATCTCATACCCACTTTACAGATGTGAAAGCTGAGTCTCATGCTAAATGGGAAAGGGCCTCTCAGACTGGCAGATGGGCTTCCCCAAGAGCTCATGCCCATTCAGTCTGCAGAGTGAAGGCCTTGGCCTCAGAGTCCCAGAACTCGGCTGATGCTGGCCACTCTCCCATCCTGACCTAGCATTTCTTGCCCCTGCTGTCATTCCGGGTCCCGGCCCTAGACTGACAACAGTGATAAAATCAGTAACATGCAGGCACTGTCCTGAGAGCGGGCAACACATGACAGATGGGGAAGCTGAGTCACAGAGGGGTGAGCCCCTTCCCCAAGGCCACCTGCCAGTAAGTGCCAGAACGTAAGCCTCACTACAGAGTCGTGCTTTCCCCCCAAATCTCTTCGTCCTTGGGGTTCAATAGCCCACCCAATGTTCTCAGTTCATGGAGGGGGAGCCTAACAGTCTTCCAGGGAAGCTGAGAGGAGCGGGCAGGGGGTAGCCTGGCTAGCCAGTTTCCTGGAGATGCCTTCGTGTCTTCTCCCTGCTACTCAAGAGGGCCCCCAGATCGGCTGGCCCGCAGGAACCATCGGTGCCCCTCTTTGCTTCCACAGGAGGCCTACTCCGTGGCCCGGCAGTTCAACCTGATCCCGCCCATCTGCGAGCAGGCGGAGTACCACATGTTCCAGCGGGAGAAGGTAGAGGTGCAGCTGCCGGAGCTCTTCCACAAGATAGGTGGGTTCCCCGCCTCGCCCCGCCCTCGCCCCGCCCCTCTCCTCTCCATCGCCCCGCCCCTCCCCAGCCCTGCTCCAATCTTATCCCGTTTCCCCGCATGCCTCCCAAGCCCCTACCGCTTCCGCCCCGGCCCCGCCCCTCTCATGCCCTGCTGCCGTCGTGCCCGCTCTCCTCTGCCACGCCCCTTCCCCTTCTCCCTGCTCCTTCTCGGGGCCCTGGGCTTGACCTCTCCCCGCTCTCCTCTCCCAGGAGTGGGCGCCATGACCTGGTCCCCTCTGGCCTGCGGCATCGTTTCCGGAAAGTACGACAGTGGCATCCCGCCCTACTCTAGAGCCTCTTTGAAGGTGAAGCAGAGGCGGGGGCCGGGGGGAGGGGACAGGCAGGGACAGGCATTTTGGAAGGATGGAAGCTTTGGGGCTGGACACCTTCCCTGGGCCACTGTCTGCGGAGCGGTTCCAGGCGTGGGAACTTGGATCCCCCAGCTGGCCTGACCCCATGCCTAGAAAGGCTGACCATCTGTGGGACATCTGCCAGCTGAAGAAGCCCCTCACTGCCCCGCTCCCCTGCCCTCGCCCCAAGTTCAACACTCACAACCTGGGCCAGGGCTGAGTGTTCCCTTTCAGATGCCTCCTCCCCTATAGACACCCCTACACTCTCTCTGGCCCATCACTGAACCTCTGGGTGGAGGGCTGCGGAATTTCTTCAGTATCCCTCAGAGGTGCCCCCAGGACAAGTAAACACCCGACACATACACCTCCGAGTGGGGACTCAGAGGGTCTCCAGACTGAAGGGTTTGGGGGACAAGGAGCAGGCAGAGAAAGGCCTGCCCAGGACAGGACAGAGTGAACACTGGAGCCCCCAGCCCTAGGGATCAGGATGGCCTGCCTCCCCCATTTCTCCCCAAACCACAGAAGCCTCCCAGAGGGCTCCCTGACCTTGCTGTGGGCACACCTCCTGGGCCGCCCAGCCTCTCAGAAGAAGGGAAGATCAGTTTGTCCACCTCCTTGTCCAAGCTCATGGGCCCAGCCTCAGCTTCCCCTCAGACAGCAGCCTTCAAATGCAGTGGCTCCCATCCTTCCACCTGCCTGGGTCTGGACTACAGCATCAGGGCCAGGGGGTGCCACCCCGGCACAGATCGTCATTAGTGCCATGCATGCAGTGGCCCAGGTGACCTGCCCTCACCCATGGGCTGTGCTCTCCCCACATCCCACAACCAGGGATACCAGTGGCTGAAGGACAAGATCCTGAGTGAGGAGGGTCGGCGCCAGCAGGCCAAACTGAAGGAACTGCAGGCCATTGCCGAGCGCCTGGGCTGCACCCTCCCCCAGCTGGCCATCGGTAAGAGGGCTGGGACGCAGGGCAGGACCAGGGTCCCCAGAAAAATATCAAGAATCCCTGAATGCCTGGGCCACCCCCTCCATCAGCCAGCCATGGGTAATGGGCTCCCATATTCATGGGGAGGGGATGAGGGGGTCCCTGAGCACTTGGGCCATCTCTCCACTGGGGGCAGCTGGTGCCAGCACTGCTGAGCCGCTGGCTTGCCAGGGCCCTCCTGGGGCACCGTCAGTCCTATGCCTGAGAGGCTGGGTCTCTCTGGCCCCATCATGGGTAGGGCAGAACCAGTGAGGGCCCTGTGTGGGGGTGCCTTCCTCACCTCTGGTCTTGCTGCCCACCCCCAGCCTGGTGCCTGAGGAACGAGGGGGTCAGCTCCGTGCTCCTGGGTGCTTCCAGCACAGACCAGCTGATGGAGAACATTGGAGCAATACAGGTGAGTGGCGCCTGCCAGCCTTGTGGGCCCTGGACAGAGTTCAGCATCTCAGCCAGGCATCTGTCCAGCATGTACTTAGTGAGCACCTACTACATACCAGGCACTGTTCGAGGCACCTGGGTTACAGCAATGAAAAACAATAAAAGCCTTGCTCTTGAAGAGCTGGCTTTTTATCTGGGTAAACAAAAAACAGAAAATGCAAGGAGTAAGATTAGAATGTGTGTCAGAGGGTGATAGGCACTCTGGAAAAGGAAACCTAGAGCAAGGTCAGGGGTATCCAGTAGGGGCAGGGAAGGGGGGAGCCATGGACCCCAGTTAAAGGGGGCTACAGGGTAGCCTTATTGATAAAGTGACTTGTGAGCAAAGGCTTGAAGGATCAGAAGTGGGCGGTGCAAATACAATCCAGGCTGATGCGAAGGTGCAAAGTAGGCACAAGCCCAGGACAGCAGCAAGGCCAGAGGCCCGCAGCAGAAGGGCACCTTTCCCTAAAGGTCCTCTGGGCACTGCATGCCCTCTAAGGACCTCAGCGATGATTGAGTGAGCTGGGAGCAGAGGAGGGGCAGTGTGACTTAGATTTTAAAAGGCTGCCTCTCGCTCTCTGGCTGCTGAGTGGAGGAAAGAGTTGGGGAGCAGGAGGGGGAGCAGGGAGATTGCTGGGAACTGATGACAGTCTGGGGGCGAGGGATGGCCTTGGTACAGATGGACAGCTGGTTGGGTCCTGGATTTCTGGAAGGTGGACCGACAGGACTGGCTGACAGACTGGATGTGAGAGTGTGGGACAGCGGGCCAGATCCTGGGGACAAACCACTGGTTTGTCACCTGGAAGTGGGGGGGGTGTTGCTCTCAGGAGGGCTGGAAAAAGCAGTTTGGGGGTGTGGATTATCAGATATTATGGTCCTGAAGTCTGCAACTTATGCCGCCACTGTCCATCCATTCAAGGGGCAGAGCTTAGACCAGGGCAGGCTTCCCTCTGCCCCAAACCTGGAATACAGAAGCAGCAAGGCCCCCTCTGCTCCACAAGCTGCATGCAATGAGGGTGGGACAGGCCAGGGCCAGCAGATAGCTGGAAGAATGTCCCCCTGTTACTGAAGTGAGGTTTGACTGCTCATCATTCAGGAATCCAATACTGAGAGAAAAGTGTTAGGTAAAAGGAAAGACATCTTTATTGAGGAAGCCAGCAGCCCCGGGGAGAAGGTGGACTCCTGTCCCCAAACAGACTCCCCCTTGTCAATAAGGGAGCAGGAAATTTCAAAGGGGAGTTTCAGGGTACACAGGTTGAGGAGTGGCTACAAGCAGAACAGCACAGTCAGCTCCAACAATCATCTTGAAACTGATCATGTGATCATCTGATCAGGGTCATCTTTTTTTTTAATTGGAGGATAATTGCTTTACAATATTGTTAGTTTCTGCCATACATCAACATGAGTTAATCAGGGTCATTTTAATTGTTTCAAGCACAACTAATCTTCAGTTCTGTCCATGGGATTCTCCAGGCAAAAATACTGGAGTGGGTAGCCATTTCCTCCAGGGGATCTTCCTGATCCCCTGGCCCACAGTCCATGGGATTGCAAAGAGTTGGACACAACTGAGCGACTAACACACACACACACAATCTTCAGTTCTAGGGTCAGTTTGTTCCCATTTCCCTGAGACTGGTTCTCAGAAGTGTGCATGATGGAGCAGTTCATGTCATGGCTACAGTCTGGTAATGATGTTGTTAACTTCTTCCACATGATGGGAGTTTTAGTATCTACAGAAGAGCTCAAAGGACATGGCTCAGAATACAATCTATAGCCCTTGAGGAAGAACTAAAAGGTCCCTGACTTTGCTTAATGGCCACACTATTATTATTTTGTCCTGTTTTACTGCTTTTCTTTGTTTTTCATTTTTTCACTTCTCCAATTGAACTTATTCTTAGGTTAAAGTTTTTCTACAGACAAGAGGCAGGTATGGAGGACATGGGAGGGGTGGGGTCTGTACCAGGAAGGCCCCATAACTTCCTGCTCCATTACCCATCACCTCACCTGCAGGTTGATTCTGACTAGCTCCCGTCTTTGCACACAGGTCCTTCCAAAACTGTCATCTTCCATCATCCACGAGATTGATAGTATTTTGGGCAATAAACCCTACAGCAAAAAGGACTATAGATCCTAAGAAGCCCCCAACCATTTGCCTGGACAGTTTCATCTCCCTCCTAGCCTCTCTGTTTGCTCGCTTAAGCTATTTTGAAGCCAAGAGTGTGGTTTGCATCAAAAACAAAACAACGCAGCAACATGTCATCAAGAGAAGATCTCAAAAGTCGCTGCCACACAGCACCCGCTGCTTCACAGGACTACCGTCAGATTCATGCCGGAGGGTCGGCATCAATTCAAAGGCATTCGAGCCGTCCCGCCCAAGCCTGCCGCCTCTGCTCATCTTCCACCAAGAAACGACATTTGTCCCAGCCACGCCCCATCTCAGAGACTCAAGTCCAGGCCAGGCCGAGACCCTTTGGGGCCTAGGAGCAGGCAGAGCTGGCCTCTCCTCTACAGAGAATCCCACCTGGTACTGGGGAGGGGAAGAGGAAGCCAGGTCTGGCTCTTCCTGTGGGCCCTCGGCTGGGCCCTGGTTGGGGTGGCCTCCCACCGGGGTCTCCCTCATTCCCCCTCTTGCCAAGGGCTCCAGGTACTGTAATTGGGCCTGACATCAGATTCTCCCACACCCCCTTCTCCACACCACCTGCCCCACTGGGTCTCTGAAGGGCCTTCAGAGCTGTCCTTTGATGCCCACCCCCACCCTTGCTGGCAGAGGCAAGGATCCAAGGGGGTTTGATTGCTCCAGGGGGGACCCACAGGAAGTCAGGGGTCTGATTTCAAGCTCATCGCCCCACTGGCTTCCTCGTCCTCACAACTGATGAGCCCCAGTGCCCAGACTCCAGCCCAGACCCTCCCCACCTGGTGCCCAGTCCATTGCCCCTCTGTCCTTGCCCTGGAAGGCCCCAAGGTCATGCGTGCTTCACTGGACTGTGACTGCTGACCGCACATGGGGTGGCCAGCCTCTGCTCTGCCTGGGGTGGTGGCCTTGGGGTCTGCAGAGAGGACATTCTGGGACCCTTCAGTGAGGGAAGGTCCCTGGGGTTTTCTGTGCTTCATGCCCAGGGCCTGGGCAGCAACCACCCACAGTCCAGGAGAAGACCCCCGTAGCCTCTCCCTGGAGCAGCATCCCCAGCAAGGGCTCAGACCAGGTCAGGTGGGGTGCTCAGAGCTTGTTGCCAGGGCAGCTAAGCAGCAGTTCTACCCCCAGGACACCCTGACACAGCCTCTGAAGAGGGAGGGATGGCTGGGTTGATCATTCCTTTCCACACCCCACACCCCAGCCTGGAACAGGCTGGGGACAAGGACAGAGGGCAGGACCTTCAGAAGTGTCAGCCCGTCTACAGCCAGGCCTGGGCTGCAGGGATAGAGGAGGGGAGGGGCCCTCAGCCAGGAGGCCCAGCCCCCATGGTCCTGAGTGGCATCCCAGCTTTTGCTGGTTGTGCAGGGGACCCGAGCCGGGCTCTGTGAATGCACTGCCTTCTGTGTATGGGCCTGGGTGACTCCTACCCTGGGCACCCCCTACATTCTCACACTCACCCCTGGGCAGACATGGACCTCCCTGCCATTATTCCCAAAGGCCTGCCGTCCAGTCCTGGCAGAGCTGAGGCCTAGGAAACTGACTTTAGGAAAGCCACAAGGTGGGGGGAGAACAACTTCCTCCACTCCAGACCTTTGTGCTGACCCTGGTGTCTAGAACCTTCTCCCTCCTTGTAGACTAGGCCCCTGGGGGTCTTCTTCACCAAGTCTCCTGCAAGTTTCACCCTAATGAGCGTGAGGAGGGGACAAGCCTGTCCCAACAGAGTCACCACCATCACATGGGTGGGGGGACTAGCTCCGAGGACAAGATGCTATAGTCCACCAGGCAGAGCTCAAGTGTCCCAACAGCTTGCCACACTCAGGAGCCAGGTCACCTGCCCCTCCCTGGAGAGTCTGGCTGGGCCCCCTCCACAGCGCTGCCACCGTGCCCACCCACCAATGGAAGAGGGACTGGGCTTGCTGTTGGGCCCATGTTTGGGCCTGCCGCCCCCACCCCACAAGCTTTACATTTGGGAAGGACAAGCCCAGTGGGAGACGTGGGCTCTCAAGGCCAAGCTCTTCCAAGGCCAAGGTGCCCAGCACCAAGTCCCAAGCCTGTTCCAGACCCTGGGGTGCTGTCTGCAGCCTAGTTCTGCATTACACCCCCTGCAAGTAGGTGTGGAAGGATCGAGCTCAGCTTCCTGATGAGCAGTCCCCAGACTTAGTGGGAGGTGGCTGGAGCGGGGAAGGGATGGAGTGGGGCTCAAGGGCAGGGAGAGCCTGGAGATGAAGAGCTTGGCCAAGGCAGGCCTTGGAGGGGAAGCCTGAGCTTCGGCATGGGTTTGAGGCCAGCTATCCTTACCCTACCCTGTTGAGGAGAAGCCCCGCTGCGGTCCTCAGCCACCTGCCAGCCAGCCTCTCACCCTCTCCTGGAAGCAGAGTTTGCTCCCAGGGGTCCACCTTGGGAGTTCCCCCCCCCCCCCCCAGGGAAGAAGGCCCAGTCTGCGTGGGAGCGGGACCAGTCTTCTTTGCTAAGGCACATGCAGCCCCTACCATTTTTCATCCCAAATCTACAGCAAGTCTGAGGTCCCAAGAACAACGGAGGGGTCTGCCCTGTCTCCTGTTCTCTCTGGCCGTGTAAATAATGTGCTGTTTCTCTCCCCCTTTTTTTTTAATGACTGTGGCTCCTCAGCTAACTGCATCACCACCACCACCCCCACAGGCAAACACCGTATGCCTCGCGCTTCCAATGACACTCAGTGGAGACACAGCGCCGTATTTATGGAATGACAAAATAAAACCCGAGCCCATCAGGGTCTGCTCCTCTCTGCTCCTCTCCTTTGCAGGGTATTCAGGGTCAGGGCTGGGTCAAGGGCAGTGGGAGGAGGTATCTTTAAAGGCCAGCAGGCCGAATCCTGAGCCTGGAGCCAAGGGGAGATTGGGAGACATGGGCCCTAGGGGGAGAAGCAAAGAATGGGGACCAAGAACCCAAGACTGTCCCAGGTGATTTGGGGTGGGAATGCCCTGCCCGCCCCCCTCACCAACACTGTCTCTCTTGCCACCACAGATTGGTGGCAGGCTGCTAGGCCCCTGCGGACAGAGAGGTCGGGGTCCAGGGAGGCCTACGGGCCCCTCTGGGGGCTCAGTGTTCCGGAGCAATGCGATTTCAGGGTGCAGGGGGGCTGGCACCACCCCTCCTGAACACCCCTTCTTGGGTGCCCCCCGTCCCAGCAAGCCCCCCAGCCTCATGGGGCCGTGTCTTCTCAGGTGGGAGGTAGCTTCAGGCAACACCCCCTCCCCCCAACATCCTTTCCCACCCCCATCCTAGATCAGTGAGAAGCTAGGACACTCTGATTCAATCCTTTCCCAGAGGATTTATTAAAACACGGAAAACCAAGACATACACACAGAGTACAAAGTGAAGGGGGCGGTGTCGGGTACAGTCCTTGTCAAGCCTCCCACACATCCTCCCGAGGACCGCATAGGTCACCACGCACAGGGGCTCAGCCTCCAGCTCCAGCTCCTGGCTGGGACCCCCCCCCCGACTCGCCCCAGCGCCCCGGCCCCTTGGCCAGCCTGGGCTTGTGCTGGGGAAGGGGCAGGCGCTTCTCAGCAGGGCCAGATGCCGGCCTGGGTGGGGTTCTGCTCCCTCACCCCTCCACACACTGATGCCTGGGGAGGGGGGCAGTGCAGGTGGGACCCTCCCCTCATGCTCAGGCCCAGAGGAGCATAGGAGGCTCGGATTCCCACCTCGGTATCAGGGGTTCAGGACACACACACACCCAACGGGCCCTTTCTGGGTTATCGCACCTAAAAAAATACTTTGTTTAAAAAAAATCTGAAAACTAAGAAAAAAAATCCCAAAACACAAGCCAATGACTTTGGGCTGATGCACCACAACCTGTAAACTTCCAGAAATATAAAATTGGGGTGGGGGGGCGGCTTCCTCAATAGACGGGTCATCAGCAGAGGACAGCTGCAGGTGCAGAGGGGGGACATTGGGTGTGGCCAGGCCAAAACCTCAGCCCCCACCTCCCACCCAAGCTCCTTCCTGCCACCCGACTCTGGAGGTTCCCGAGCCCACCCTCTACACGAACCCCTCAGGCCCTCAACATCCCTGGGACCCAATAACCGGGAGCAAAGGCTGCAGGTGTCCATGGGGTGAGAGTCGGTCAGCCCCCCACCTGGGCCAGGGATCCCCCAAAGGACCCTGGGAAGGGACCCCCAGCCAGCAGGAGGGCAGGTGCCTGCACCAGTCATGAGTACCAGCAGTATGGGCCCATGGTCATCACTTGCAGAAAACAAAGGAGCTTCTGAAGGCGGCTTGCAGGGAGGGTCTCCGTGCACAGGGGGGTCTCAGGTTGTGTTTCCATGGTGGGCGTGTGCGAGGGGCCCCCCAGACACAGTCCAACCCAAACTCCCATGGTCACCGGGGAGCCCAGGAGGCAATGCTCTCCAAGACTGTGCCCAAAGATGGTTCAACAGAAAGCCTACTCAGCACTGGTCTAAATAATAAAGTGGCAAAAATGGGGCTGGCACTTTGGGGCTTCCGCTTGCACGACAACCTCCACTGTGCCAACAGCAAAAACAAAACCAGCCTGAAGATGTCCAAGAGCGCGGAAGCCCCACTCCCCACACTCCACTACAACTCTGGAAGGGAGATAACTGATAAACCAAGAAAAAACATTCTCTAGATCCTTTTTCCTCTCCAAAACCAGAAACCCACTCCCCAGCTGTCCACAGCCCCCCTTCCAGGCCTCCCAGGTGCTGGTCTTGGAGAACTGAGCCCTTCCTGGACCAGGCAGCGCAGATGGCTAGGCCGATCACTGGTGCCTAGTTCCAGCTGGTCAAGGAAAAGGGCAGAGGCCTAGGGAGGAGACGGAGGAGGGGCGGAAAGCAAGGGCTGGCGGGGAAAGGACCACCCACTCTTGGAGCTGGGCAGTGGGGACGCAGACTCCTATCCTCCGCCAGGTGCCCCCTGACACTCAGGACCCATCAACCATGTTTCCCACCAGCTCAGCCGCAGGACTGACTGCCTGCCTGGGAGGACAGTCATGGGGCCCTGGGTGGGGGGCTCGTGGCGGTCACCCGGCCCATGGCCTGAGCCAGAGCCTTTGCAAGGAACACACAGGCCCACGTGGCACTGGAAAAACCACAGTGGGCAGGAGTGACCCAACCCTTCCTGGAGGGCGAGTTCAGCTGCTGCCACACGTGTCCTGCCACACGTACACCCGTGTACCACTTTCAGGCTGCCTCCCATTCCTCCACCCACAATGCCGGGGTCAGTCAGCCTGGAGATAGACAGGGCCTTGGGGTCCAGTCCTCTAGGGGTTCAGGGAGAGCCGTTTATAGATGAGGGCTCTGGGAGGGCTGGCCAATGGCCCCGTGTCCCCAAGACACCCCCAAATCCTGGCCCTAGTCCTGGCCAGGAAGCTGAACGGAGCCTTCCCATGGTGCCCCACCCCCCAGGCCCACCCTGTCTCTCACTTGGACAGGATTCTGCACCAGGGTTCCACTCCAGGAAGGTCAAGGCTCCCTGGTCAAGGCTCAGAAATCCCTTCCAGGCTGAGGCTGGGCCAGAGGGAACATCAGACACGGACGGACCCAGGTCCTGGCCCATCCCTCCGTTCCTCTGAACTGGAACAGTCAGAGGGCACCACCAGCTGGGTGGAAGGCGATCAGGATTCCAACAGGCCGCTCCTGGCAGGAAACAGGGCAGGAGGCTGGGGACACTCCAGTTGGGAAGACTGGAGAGGCCAATGGGTCCAGTCCCCTGCCTCCAAGCTTTCCCCAAATTTTGAAGAACACAGTGAGGGCTGTCACAGGCCTGCCCCAGATGGCAAGTGCTGGGATCGAGGCCTCTCCAGGGACAGGGGAGGGATAAGTCCAGGCTCGAGGCGGCTGGCCTGGTTTCTCCGTGTCGGCCACCAGAAGACGACATGGGGAATGGGTGTGAAGGGCCTCCCAGGGCACAGGGCAGGACCAGGGCTCCGGGGCCACGTTCAGCACTTCTGGGACAGCAGCCACACCCGGAGAGGGAGGGTAAGCCCCTTCCCGCAATGGCCAGAGACCAAGGCCCCAGCAGCCCCCAGGCTGACTGACACCTGCCGTCTCTTCTCTCCGGGGAGCACATGCCGTGACCTGCCACGCAAGGCGGGGGCCGCAGACCCTCCACGGGTGACGACAGAATCCAGGGGGCCTGCGAGACAGACTGGCCAGGGGCAGACACGTGCCGAC